GAGAGACTAGAGAGAGAGACTAGAGACAGAGCAGAGAGAGAGACTAGAGAGAGAGACTAGAGAGAGAGACTAGAGACCAGAGAGAGAGACTAGAGAGAGAGACTAGAGAGAGAGACTAGAGACCAGAGACCAGAGAGAGAGACTAGAGAGAGACTAGAGAGAGAGACTAGAGACCAGAGAGAGAGACTAGAGAGAGAGACTAGAGACCAGAGACCAGAGAGAGAGACTAGAGAGAGAGACTAGAGACCAGAGACCAGAGAGAGAGACTAGAGAGAGAGACTAGTGACCAGAGAGACACTAGAGGAAGACCAGAGAGGGACTAGAGGGAGACCAGAGAGGCACTAAAGGGAGACCAGAGAGGGACTAGAGGGAGACCAGAGAGGGACTAGAGGGAGACCAGAGAGACACTAGAGAGAGACCAGAGACTAGTGACCAGAGAGACACTAGAGAGAGACCAGAGACTAGTGACCAGAGAGACACTAGAGAGAGACCAGAGAGACTAGTGACCAGAGAGACACTAGAGGGAGACCAGAGAGACACTAGAGAGAGACCAGAGAGACTAGTGACCAGAGAGACACCGAAGGGAGACCAGAGAGACTAGTGACCAGAGAGACACTAGAGGAAGACCAGAGAAAGACCAGAGAGGCACTAAAGGGAGACCAGAGAGGGACTAGAGGGAGACCAGAGAGACACTAGAGAGAGACCAGAGAGACTAGTGAGACACCAAAGGGAGACCAGAGAGAGACTAGAGGGAGACCAGAGAGAGAGACTAGAGGGAGACCAGAGAGACTAGTAACCAGAGAGGGGGAATAGAGAGAGACACTAGAGGGAGACCAGAGATACTAGTGACCAGAGAGACACTAGAGGAAGACCAGAGGAAGACCAGAGAGGCACTAAAGGGAGACCAGAGAGGGACTAGAGGGAGACCAGAGAGACACTAGAGAGAGACCAGAGAGACTAGTGAGACACCAAAGGGAGACCAGAGAGAGACTAGAGGGAGACCAGAGAGAGAGACTAGAGGGAGACCAGAGAGACTAGTGACCAGAGAGACACTAGAGAGAGACCAGAGAGAGAGACTAGAGGGAGACCAGAGAGACTAGTAACCAGAGAGGGAGACCAGAGAGGGGGAAGCGAGGGAGACCAGAGAGAGAAGCTAGACGGGTACCAAAGAGAGGCAGGAGACAGATCATAGGGCAAGAGTAGCGAGACCAAAGTTAAAACAAAACTGCTTTAAAACAATATGTACAGTATTCATAAAACAGGAAATAATAAAATAAAAGTGTTTGTCTAAACTCAGTCTATATTTTGAAGCGTACATCATTACGATAGACGAGTCCAACCCACGGCCCCCGGGACCAACGAGGCCACGAAAACCTTCACTTCGGCCGTTACCACAAACAGTGATAAGAAGTGCACTTAATGATCTTTACTATGATTGTAAAGTCACATTTTTACTTTTTGTGTGTTCTCTGGTTGTAATTCACCAATTTAAATGTTTTTTTACGTCTTTTTGAGTTGCCGTTTTGTGTGTCATCTGTATTTCAGGGGTCAGTGTGTTTGTGTGTGCGTCACAAAAGCACCAGTAGAAACACAATCTTACTCGTTCTCTAATTGAATGCGATTGTTAGAGACGCATGTAAACTGTTGGTGTGGAAGAAACTAGTCCGTTTGGGGATAACTGGTGGACTGAGACGAGACGAGAGAGCAGAGAGGGACCAGAGAGAGGCCAGTGAGAGACCAGAGACAGAGAGACCAGAGAGAGGCCAGTGAGAGACTAGATAGACCAGAGAGAGACTAGAGAGAGAGACCAGTGAGAGACCAGAAAGAGACTAGAGAGAGACCAGAGAGAGAGACCAGTGAGAGACCAGAGAGAGGCCAGTGAGAGACTAGTGAGAGACCAGAGAGGGAGACCAGACAGAGGCCAGTGAGAGACTAGAGACCAGAGAGAGACCAGAGAGAGGCCAGTGAGAGACTAGTGAGATACCAGAGAGGGAGACCAGAGAGAGGCCAGTGAGAGACTAGTGAGAGACCAGAGAGGGAGACCAGAGAGAGGCCAGTGAGAGACTAGTGAGAGAGAACAGAGAGGGGCCAGTGAGAGACTAGAGAGAGAGACCAGTGAGAGACTAGTGAGAGAGAACAGAGAGGGGCCAGTGAGAGACTAGTGAGAGAGACCAGTGAGAGACCAGAAAGAGACTAGAGAGAGACCAGAGAGAGAGACCAGTGAGAGACCAGAGAGAGGCCAGTGAGAGACTAGTGAGAGACCAGAGAGGGAGACCAGAGAGAGGCCAGTGAGAGACTAGTGAGAGACCAGAGAGGGAGACCAGAGAGAGGCCAGTGAGAGACTAGAGAGGGGCCAGTGAGAGACTAGAGAGAGAGACCAGTGAGAGACTAGTGAGAAAGACCAGAGAGAGGCCAGTGAGAGACTAGTGAGAGAGACCAGAGAGAGGCCAGTGAGAGACTAGAGAGACCAGAGAGAGGCCAGTGAGAGACTAGAGAGAGAGACCAGTGAGAGACTAGAGAGAGAGACTAGTGAGAGAGACCAGTGAGAGACTAGTGAGAGAGACCAGAGAGGCCAGTGAGTGACTAGAGAGAGACCAGAGAGGGGCCAGTGAGAGACTAGTGAGAGAGACCAGTGAGAGACTAGTGAGAGAGACCAGTGAGAGACTAGAGAGAGACTAGTGAGAGAGACCAGTGAGAGACTAGTGAGAGAGACCAGTGAGAGACTAGTGAGAGAGACCAGAGAGGGGCCAGTGAGAGACTAGAGAGAAGCCAGTGAGAGATTAGAGAGAGAGACCAGAGAGGGGTCAGTGAGAGATTAGAGAGGCCAGTGAGAGAGCTACGTCTTTTTGAGTTGCCGTTTTGTGTGTCATCTGTATTTCAGGGGTCAGTGTGTTTGTGTGTGCGTCACAAAAGCACCAGTAGAAACACAATCTTACTCGTTCTCTAATTGAATGCGATTGTTAGAGACGCATGTAAACTGTTGGTGTGGAAGAAACTAGTCCGTTTGGGGATAACTGGTGGACTGAGACGAGACGAGAGAGCAGAGAGGGACCAGAGAGAGGCCAGTGAGAGACCAGAGACAGAGAGACCAGAGAGAGGCCAGTGAGAGACTAGATAGACCAGAGAGAGACTAGAGAGAGAGACCAGTGAGAGACCAGAAAGAGACTAGAGAGAGACCAGAGAGAGAGACCAGTGAGAGACCAGAGAGGGAGACCAGACAGAGGCCAGTGAGAGACTAGAGAGAGACCAGAGAGAGGCCAGTGAGAGACTAGTGAGATACCAGAGAGGGAGACCAGAGAGAGGCCAGTGAGAGACTAGTGAGAGACCAGAGAGGGAGACCAGAGAGAGGCCAGTGAGAGACTAGTGAGAGACCAGAGAGGGAGACCAGAGAGAGGCCAGTGAGAGACTAGAGAGAGAGAACAGAGAGGGGCCAGTGAGAGACTAGAGAGAGAGACCAGTGAGAGACTAGTGAGAGAGACCAGTGAGAGACCAGAGAGAGAGACCAGTGAGAGACCAGAGAGAGGCCAGTGAGAGACTAGTGAGAGACCAGAGAGGGAGACCAGAGAGAGGCCAGTGAGAGACTAGAGAGGGGCCAGTGAGAGACTAGAGAGAGAGACCAGTGAGAGACTAGTGAGAGAGACCAGAGAGAGGCCAGTGAGAGACTAGTGAGAGAGACCAGAGAGAGGCCAGTGAGAGACTAGAGAGACCAGAGAGAGGCCAGTGAGAGACTAGAGAGAGAGACCAGAGAGGGGCCAGTGAGAGACTAGAGAGAGAGACCAGTGAGAGACTAGAGAGAGAGACTAGTGAGAGAGACCAGTGAGAGACTAGTGAGAGACCAGAGAGGCCAGTGAGTGACTAGAGAGAGACCAGAGAGGGGCCAGTGAGAGACTAGTGAGAGAGACCAGTGAGAGACTAGTGAGAGAGACCAGTGAGAGACTAGAGAGAGACTAGTGAGAGAGACCAGTGAGAGACTAGTGAGAGAGACCAGTGAGAGACTAGTGAGAGAGACCAGAGAGGGGTCAGTGAGAGATTAGAGAGGCCAGTGAGATAGCTAGGAGAGACCAGAGAGACAAGAGAAAGGCTAGAGAGAGATCAGAGACCAGAATAGCCAGTGTCAGACTCGTGTGTAGTTTTATAACATTCTTCCCCTGAACCAGATGTGAGCTACAGGTTCGAAAAAAGTCTGGTTTATTGCTGCTTGGCTTATTGAAAGCACCGAAGGAAAAGGCTAGGTCACAAGGCAGGTTAAAGGCGAGTCTTTTGGACACACCAGCCCGTGTTGCTCACTGTGTTTTTGCTCAGTGGGAATGAGCCTTAGATTCCTTGTTTTTAGTGGTTAAAGGGTGAATGTATGTGTGTGTGTCCAGTTTGCAGGTGTTGCTACACTGACCATTGCTAGTTATTGCTTTATAGGACCGAGAGAAAGCGAGAGAGCGAGAGAGAGAGGCAAGAGAAAAGAAAGACTAGAGGGACCAGAGACCAGAGAGAGAGAACTGGGAAAAAGAATACAGGAAGAGACTAGAGACTAGAAAGAGATCAGAGGGAGAGGCAAGAGAGAGAGTACTGGGAGAAAGACTACAGTGAGAGACTAGAGAGAGAGACCAGAGAGAGCGAACAGGGAGAGTAGAGAGAGAGAGCAGAGAGAAACCAGAGAGAGACCAGAGAAAAAGAACAGGGAAAAAGACTAAAGAGAGACACCAGTAAGAGAGACTAGAAAGAGACCAGAGAGAGAGGCAAGAGAGAGAACAGGGCGAAAGACTATGGGGAGAGATTAAAGAGAGACCTAGGGAGACCTGTGTTTCTTCTCAGTGTGAATGAGCCTTTACATTTCTTTCATTTCGTGGTTAAAGGGTTCATACAAATATCCACCGCGTTCAAATCCAGTCCAGTTTTTAGCTGTTGCTACACCGTCCAGCGCTAGCTAAAAAAATCTATTAGCATCATAGGAAAAAGCTGAATAATGTGAGAGACGAGAAAGTGGGAGGACGTCAGAAAAGTGACCGAGTGCAGCTTTAACTGAAAAGTCTGTAGCTTTCACTGTGGAGGAGGGGGAGGAGGGGGAGGGGGAGGAGGCCAGAACGGAGCAGCGAAGGCCGGGTTGAAGAAGGCGGGAGGCGGGGGGTACATGTGGAAGTTTGGAGGCAGTTGAGGAGGCGGGGGAGGGGGGTAAGGGCAGGGCGGGGGCGGGTAGGCGTGGTGAGGGTGATGGTGAGAGGGAGGCGGGGGTCTGGAGGGGCGGAAGCCAGGGCTCCTCTGGTTCTGGGGTCTGAACGGGGGCCGCTGCTGGTGTCGAGGGGGGAACGTCCTGGTGTCGTACTGCTGTTGCTGGTGCTGCTGGTGCTGAGGGGGGCGGGTCTGAGGGGTGGAGTTATCTGGAGAAAGGTGGATACAAAATGGAGGAGTGCGAGTTAGAGAGACACAAGACAGAACAATAAGCATTGACAATAAGAATAGGAGAGTATGGATCTTTATAGGAGAGAGAGAGAGAGAGACCAGAGACGGGTCAGACAGAAGAGAGAGAGACACGAGAGGGACAGGAGAGAGACGAGAGAGAGACCAGAGAGAGATGAGGGAAACCAGAGCGAGACCTGAGGGAAAAACCAGAGAGAGATGAGAGACCAGAGGGAGAGGCAAAAAAGAGACCTGAGTGAAAGACCACAAAAAGAAATGATAGAGAGGCAAGAGAGAGAGAGAGAGACAAGACAAGAGAGAGGCCAGAGAGAGACCAGAGAGACTCGAATGAAAGACAAGAGAGAGACAAGAGAGAAACTAGAGAGAGAGACGAGAGAGAGAGACCAGAGAGAGACAAGAGAGAGAGACCAGAAAGAGACCAGAGAGAGACCAGAGAGAGACCAGAGAGACACCAGAGAGAGAGACCAGGGAGAGAGACCAGGGAGAGAGACCAGAGAGACACGAATGAAAGACAAGAAAGAGACAAGAGAGACAAAGGTCATTGAAAACCCACAGTTGTGAGTGTTCTGTACCTATATTGTTATGGTTCCTCTTTTTGTGTCTTTTTTTGGCCTCTTTTTCTTTCTCGTCATCGCTGTAATCCAAAGCCTGGACACAAATGCGGAGGATAAGGTGAAAAACACATTTAAACGACTTTATTCAAACTTTACCTCTGCTGGGGGCTCAATGTCATTCTTCCAGGAGGCGTCAGAGCCTTCGTTTCTGTAACAATAACACTTTTATGAAAACTGGCTTCAAGCAGAGAGAGACCAGAGGGAGACCAGAGAGAGACCAGAGGGAGACCAGAGAGAGACTAGAGAGAGACTAGAGAGAGAGAGCCCAGAGGGAGAGACTAGAGGGAGACCAGAGAGACTAGGGAGAGAGAGACCAGAGGGAGAGACTAGAGAGACCAGAGAGAGACTAGGGAGAGAGAGACCAGAGACAGACCAGAGGGAGAGACTAGAGAGAGACCAGAGAGAGACCAGAGAGAGAGACTAGAGAGCTTTAAAGAGAGACCAGAGAGAAACCAGAGAGAGACCAGAGAGAGAAGAGAGACAGACTAGAGAGAGACCAGAGAGAGACCAGAGAGAGACCAGAGAGAGACTAGGGAGAGAGACCAGAGAGTGAGAGACCAGTGAGAGACCAGAGAGAGACGAGAGAGAGACCACAGAGAAACCAGAGAGAGACCAGAGAGAGACCACAGAGAAACCAGAGAGAGACCAGAGAGAGAGAGCACTCACAGTTTCAGCTGCTGCATCAGGATGTACTCTGTGTACTCTTTGATGTTGGGGGCGCAGAACAGCGGCAGTCCCAGGGTCAGGCCTCTGTCGTGGATCTGCTGCTCTGTGTTGAACCTCAGGAGGTAGAACGGGCTGCAGACCGGACCGAACACTTCAAACACCTGTCACAAGGGGGCAGCAGAGGGACAGTTTAAAGCCAGGAAACAAAAGGAGAACTAAACTTCCGGGAGATGAGAGATGACCAGAGCAAGAGGCAAAAAAAGATGAGGGCAAGAGAAAGACCAGAGAGAGGGACAAGAGAAAGAGAGACCAGAGAGAGACCGAGTGAAAGACCAGAGAGAGAGCCAGAGAGAGTGACCGAGTGAAAGACCAGAGAGAGGGACCAGAGCGATAGAGCGATAGACCAGAGAGAGAAGGAGAGAGAGGGAGAGAGCGAGTTTTAACTGATTCTCTGATCTGTTGTTGGTGAATCTTTGTAAAGTCCTTTAAGATGACAATTGTTGTTATTTAGAGCCATACAAAAATGAACTGAATTGAAACCTGCGTCTCAGATCAAATGGCTCTGACCAGTGGAGTCCCCCAGGGGTCGATCCTGGGGCCTCCTCTGTTTCTCACCTTTCCCACAGAGGTTCGGTCGGAGGTGAAGAGGAGGCTGTCTTCTTTCAGAGGAGGAGTGTCTTTGAGAGACTGCACCACGACTGTTAAAACAAACTAACATTAGAACCACAGGAAAACAGCAACTGTGGCACTAAACAGAAGTACATTGTTTTTGTACAGTGTGTGTGTGTGTGTGTTTCTGTGTGTGACGGTGTGTATGTGTCTGTCTATGTGTGTGACGGTGTGTATATGTGCCTGACTGTGTATGTGTCTGTCTATGTGTGTGTGACGGTGTGTATATGTGCCTGACTGTGTATGTGTCTGTCTATGTGTGTGTGACGGTGTGTATATGTGCCTGACTGTGTATGTGTCTGTCTATGTGTGTGTGACGGTGTGTATCTGTGTGTGACGGGTCTGGTATCTACGAGTCTGTCTGTGTATGTCTATGTCTATGTGTGACGTGTGTATCTGCAAGTCTGTCTTTGTGTGTGACGGTATCTATGTGTCTATGTGTGTATCTATGTGTCCCTATGTGCGACGGAGTGTATCCACGTGTCCTTCTATATGTGTGACGGTGTGTATATGTGTGTGTGTGACTTTGTTGTGATTGTAAACATGACATAACAAAAGTTCTTGTACTTTTGAATTATCCCATTGTAGGTGTGTGCGGTGTGTGTGACTGCCTGTCTGTCTCTGTGCCTGTGTGTCTCAAAGTCTGTGTGTGTATGTGTGTGACTGCCTGTGCGTCTCAGTGTCTGTGTGTGTGTGTGTTTTTACCCAGTCGATCCAGAACATTGGAGACGGCTCCCACAGGCTGCAGCTCTGCGTGTTCTGGTAACGTCACAGTCACCACCTCCACCTCCGGCAGCTCCTGCTCACACACCAGAGCTACAGTCAGAAAATCCTCACCTTTTTGTGGTTATTTCTATGATTTTAAAGACATGAAGAAGTCAAAAACTACAACTACTACTACTAATAATAATAACAAAAAATAATCAAATCTGTTCGTTCTCTCGAATAGAAACAGCAGTGATATGAGTGTGATGCATTGGATCATGGACCGACCTCGAGCAGCAGTTCTCCCTGGACTTTGATGGGAACTGGTTGGCTGAAGCCTTCGTCGTCGTCCTCCATCATGCGGACAGACGGAGCCGAGGAAGACGAGGAGGAAGACGAAGAAGAGGACGAAGAGGAGCCGTCACTGTGGATCAGAGTCAGACATGTTTGTATGGTCAATGTATTTGAAGTGACGCACAAGAACAGGGTACATTCGTACACAGTCTAACCACTTTTTTGTGAAAAGTTGCATTTGTCTGGCCTCTCTCTCTGGCCTCTCTGGCCTCTCTCTGGCCTCTCTCTGGTCTCTCTCTCTGGTCTCTCTCTCTGGTCTCTCTCTCTGGTCTCTCTCGCTGGCCTCTCTCGCTGGCCTCTCTCGCTGGCCTCTCTCGCTGGCCTCTCTCGCTGGCCTCTCTCTGTGGTCTCTCTCTGTGGTCTCTCTCTGGCCTCTCTCTGGCCTCTCTCTGGTCTCTCTCTGGTCTCTCTCTCTGGTCTCTCTCTCTGGCCTCTCTCGCTGGCCTCTCTCGCTGGCCTCTCTCGCTTGCCTCTCTCGCTGGCCTCTCTCGCTGGCCTCTCTCGCTGGCCTCTCTCGCTGGCCTCTCTCTCTGGCCTCTCTCTCTGGCCTCTCTCTGTGGTCTCTCTGGCCTCTCTCTGGCCTCTCTCTGGTCTCTCTCTGGTCTCTCTCTCTGGTCTCTCTCTCTGGTCTCTCTCTCTGGTCTCTCTCTCTGGTCTCTCTCGCTGGCCTCTCTCGCTGGCCTCTCTCGCTGGCCTCTCTCGCTGGCCTCTCTCGCTGGCCTCTCTCTGTGGTCTCTCTCTGGCCTCTCTCTGGTCTCTCTCTGGCCTCTCTCTGGTCTCTCTCTGGCCTCTCTTTCTGGTCTCTCTCGCTGGCCTCTCTCGCTGGCCTCTCTCGCTGGCCTCTCTCGCTGGCCTCTCTCGCTGGCCTCTCTCGCTGGCCTCTCTCGCTGGCCTCTCTCGCTGGCCTCTCTCGCTGGCCTCTCTCGCTGGCCTCTCTCTCTGGTCTCTCTCTCTCTGGCCTCTCTCTCTGGCCTCTCTCTCTGGCCTCTCTCTCTGGCCTCTCTCTCTGGCCTCGGCCTCTCTCTCTGGCCTCTCTCTCTCTGGCCTCTCTCTCTGGCCTCTCTCTTTGGCCTCTCTCTCTGGCCTCTCTCTCTGGCCTCTCTCTCTGGCCTCTCTCTCTGGCCTCTCTCTCTGGCCTCTCTCTGTGGTCTCTCTCTGTGGCCTCTCTCTGTGGCCTCTCTCGCTGGCCTCTCTCGCTGGCCTCTCTCGCTGGCCTCTCTCGCTGGCCTCTCTCTCTGGCCTCTCTCTCTGGCCTCTCTCTCTGGCCTCTCTCTCTGGCCTCTCTCTCTGGCCTCTCTCTCTGGCCTCTCTCTGGCCTCTCTCTGTGGTCTCTCTCTCTGGTCTCTCTCTCTGGTCTCTCTCTCTGGTCTCTCTCTCTGGCCTCTCTCTGTGGTCTCTCTCTCTGGTCTCTCTCTCTGGTCTCTCTCTCTGGTCTCTCTCTCTGGTCTCTCTCTCTGGTCTCTCTCTCTGGTCTCTCTCTCTGGTCTCTCTCTCTGGTCTCTCTCTGGTCTCTCTCTGGTCTCTCTCTCTGGCCTCTCTCTCTCTTTAACACAGATCTCTCCCTCTGGCCTCTCTCACAAATCTCTCTCTGGCCTCTCTCTTTAACACAGATCTCTCCCTCTGGCCTCTCTCTCTCACAAATCTCTCTCTCGCTGGTCTTTGCATTTTTTGTCTTACTCTCAGAACCTTCTAAGCCTTAAACATAAAAAGACATAAGGAAGTCTTACATTTGCATACAGCTCACCTGTCGGATTCAGAGTCTTCCTCAGAGTCCTCAGAGTTCACATATTCCACTAAAGCTTTAGTCGCTGGCTCCTTCTCTGTCACGACGGTCTCTGCGTTGGTCTGGATGGTCACGTCGGTCTCTGCGTTGGTCCGGATGGTCACGTCGGTCTCTGCTTTCTTCTGGATGGTCACTGCCACCTCCTCATCTTTTGGAACCAGTAAGGTCTGTGAGGCCTGAGTCGTCTCTGGCGTCTCCTCTGACCTGTGTCCGTCCATCTGAAAGAAACCACACCAGAAGATGAGAATACAGGGTTATAAACATACATTATACAGTGTTATCACATCGTCCTGTGATCTAAAACAGACCTGGAGTAGTTTTTACCTTGATACACACCAATAGGAGGAACTTCAGGCACAAGTGGACACAATTATTATGCTAAAGTTAGAGATTTTACATTGTTTTAGTATAGGACCACTTTAGTTAATAGAGAGAGTGAGACTAGAGACAGACAAGAGAGAGACTAGAGAGAGAGAGAGAAAAGAGAGAGAGACTAGAAAGACAGTAGAGACCAGAGAATGAGACTAGAGAGACCAGACAGAGTCAGAGAGAGTGAGTGTGAGTGTGAGTGTGAGTGTGAGAGTGAGAGTGAGAGTGAGAGTGAGAGTGAGTGTGTGTGTGAGTGAGTGAGTGAGTGAGTGAGAGAGAGAGAGAGAGACCAGAGGGTGAGACTAGAGAAACCAGAGAGAGACTAGAGAGACCAGAAAGAAACCAGCAAGAGACTAGAGACAGACCAGAGAGGGACCAGAGAGACACCAGAGAGAGAGAGAACAGAGAGAGACTAGAAACTGGTCTCTCTAGTCTTTCTATTGATTCTAGCTTTTCCCATCTGGCGTTGGGTTAGTGGTATGTTTCTCTCTCCATTCAATTGCACATACTAGACTCTAACATTGCATTAGCTTATAGGTAAACATAGGTAAGACATGTAAACAAATGTCATAAAATGCCTTTAAACATTTCTAAACAAATCTCTAAACATCTTACTTACTTTTCCATTTTGTAATTGGACCAGATCCAATTGTTTTGAAGAGTCCGTGTTTTCAGGCTCAAAATTTAGACTCTTCATTTGCTCAGCGACTGTCACCTCCATGTCTTCGGCTTTAGGGTCCAGTAAGGTCTTCGGCGTCTCTTCCACTCGTGTGCCGTGGTCAGTGGAGAGAGCCGGGACTAAACATTCACTTGGAGCTGATGTCTGTGAAGCCTCCTCTGAGGTTTTAGTGGATTGTGGAGACTTCAAAGCCTCCTCTGAAGTGGTTTCCTCCATCTGAAAATCAAACGTTTAATTACAATTAGTAAAAAGGACAATTAAACCTAAACTCTGTTGAATAGGATCAGACGGAGCATGAAATAATCGACTAAAATGGTGGTTCAGCGATGCAAAAAATACTCAAACATATAGGATTTTGCTAAAACACCGTAATGTATTCATAATTATAGGTCTTGGATTAAACTACAGTATCTATTCATTCAGTCAATTTATAGAAATCATAGAGACTAGAGAGAGACCAGAGAGAGACTAGAGAGAGAGAGACCAGAGAGACTAGAAAGAGAGACCAGAGATAGACCAGAGAGAGAGACAACAGAGAGAGACACCAGAGAGAGACTAGAAAGAGAGACGAGAGATAGACCAGAGAGAGAGACCAGAAAGAGACACCAGAGAGAGACTAGAAAGAGAGACGAGAGACCAGCGAGAGACCAGAGAGAGACACCAGAGAGAGACACCAGAGAGAGACACCAGAGAGAGACACCAGAGAGAGACACCAGAGAGACTAGAAAGAGAGACCAGAGATAGACTAGAAAGAGAGACCAGAGATAGACCAGAGAGAGAGACCAGAAAGAGACACCAGAGAGAGACTAGAAAGAGAGACGAGAGACCAGCGAGAGACCAGAGAGAGACACCAGAGAGAGACACCAGAGAGAGACACCAGAGAGACTAGAAAGAGAGACCAGAGATAGACTAGAAAGAGAGACCAGAGATAGACCAGAGAGAGACACCAGAGAGAGACACCAGAGAGAGACACCAGAGAGAGAGACACCAGATAGACTAGAAAGAGAGACCAGAGATAGACTAGAAAGAGAGACCAGAGATAGACCAGAGAGAGAGACCAGAAAGAGACACCAGAGAGAGACTAGAAAGAGAGACGAGAGACCAGCGAGAGACCAGAGAGAGACCAGAGAGAGACACCAGAGAGAGACACCAGAGAGACTAGAAAGAGAGACCAGAGATAGACCAGAGAGAGACACCAGAGAGAGACACCAGAGAGAGACACCAGAGAGACTAGAAAGAGAGACCAGAGATAGACCAGAGAGAGAGACCAGAGAGAGAGACTAGAAAGAGAGACCAGAGATAGACACCAGAGAGAGACACCAGAGAGAGACACCAGAGAGAGACACCAGAGAGAGACACCAGATAGACTAGAAAGAGAGACCAGAGATAGACTAGAAAGAGAGACCAGAGATAGACCAGAGAGAGAGACCAGAAAGAGACACCAGAGAGAGACTAGAAAGAGAGACGAGAGACCAGCGAGAGACCAGAGAGAGACACCAGAGAGAGACACCAGAGAGAGACACCAGAGAGACTAGAAAGAGAGACCAGAGATAGACTAGAAAGAGAGACCAGAGATAGACCAGAGAGAGACACCAGAGAGAGACACCAGAGAGAGACACCAGAGAGAGACACCAGAGAGAGACACCAGATAGACTAGAAAGAGAGACCAGAGATAGACTAGAAAGAGAGACCAGAGATAGACCAGAGAGAGAGACCAGAAAGAGACACCAGAGAGAGACTAGAAAGAGAGACGAGAGACCAGCGAGAGACCAGAGAGAGACACCAGAGAGACTAGAAAGAGACCAGAGATAGACCAGAGAGAGACACCAGAGAGAGACACCAGAGAGACTAGAAAGAGAGACCAGAGATAGACCAGAGAGAGAGACCAGAGAGAGAGACCAGAGAGAGAGACTAGAAAGAGAGACCAGAGATAGACACCAGAGAGAGACACCAGAGAGAGACCACCAGAGAGAGACACCAGAGAGACTAGAAAGAGAGACCAGAGATAGACTAGAAAGAGAGACCAGAGATAGACCAGAGAGAGACACCAGAGAGAGACACCAGAGAGAGACACCAGAGAGACTAGAAAGAGAGACCAGAGATAGACTAGAAAGAGAGACCAGAGATAGACCAGAGAGAGAGACCAGAAAGAGACACCAGAGAGAGACTAGAAAGAGAGACGAGAGACCAGCGAGAGACCAGAGAGAGACCAGAGAGAGACACCAGAGAGAGACACCAGAGAGACTAGAAAGAGAGACCAGAGATAGACCAGAGAGAGAGACCAGAGAGAGAGACCAGAGAGAGAGACTAGAAAGAGAGACCAGAGATAGACACCAGAGAGAGACACCAGAGAGAGACACCAGAGAGAGAGACCAGATAGACTAGAAAGAGAGACCAGAGATAGACTAGAAAGAGAGACCAGAGATAGACCAGAGAGAGACACCAGAGAGAGACACCAGAGAGAGACACCAGAGAGAGACACCAGAGAGAGACACCAGATAGACTATAAAGAGAGACCAGAGATAGACTAGAAAGAGAGACCAGAGATAGACCAGAGAGAGAGACCAGAAAGAGACACCAGAGAGAGACTAGAAAGAGAGACGAGAGACCAGCGAGAGACCAGAGAGAGACACCAGAGAGACTAGAAAGAGACCAGAGATAGACCAGAGAGAGACACCAGAGAGAGACACCAGAGAGACTAGAAAGAGAGACCAGAGATAGACCAGAGAGAGAGACCAGAGAGAGAGACCAGAGAGAGAGACTAGAAAGAGAGACCAGAGATAGACACCAGAGAGACTAGAAAGAGAGACGAGAGACCAGAGAGAGACACCAGAGAGACTAGAAAGACCAGCGAGAGACCAGAGAGAGACACCAGAGAGACTAGAAAGAGAGACCAGAGATAGACCAGAGAGAGACACCAGAGATAGACCAGAGAGAGAAACCAGGGAGAGAGATTAGAGCTTTAACAAGTAATGGATGTATATGGTATCATCTTGAATATTGCTCCCAAATAAAGCACGTAAAATAGTTTAATCTGCCAAAAAATCTTAATAACATTGTAAAAACCACACTAGCTAGCTACATCCATAACATTACTGTTAGCATCACGTTAGCCTAGCCATCCCGAACAACTAAACCAGCAGAAACAGTAGAATTAAGATGACAGCCAAGTATGAGCACGTGTCTTGGTACAACAATAAATAGTAAATAGTTCTATGTTTGAATAAAATGACTTACTTTTAAAGAATAACATGCACAGCGAGCCTACGGGGAATGAATGTGTGCGAAGAGCTGCGTGTTGGCAGTAACGCGGAAATCTACTTCCGGTTCTTTAGCTTCACAATAAAAGAATGCTAGATCTCACGGTTAAGAAAATCACATTGTTTTGCATTTCTGATAGCATGGTTAGACTTATAATTTTAAAGAAATTTGTATGATAATGTTTTAGCAATATATACATGAAGAATTAGTGTCATTGTAAGCGGATTTATTTTATTTTGAAGGTGAGTTGCCGTTGCTGTCGTTGCCTGGTTTGGGAGCTTGACTCTGGCCTCGTTCCAGCCGCATGGGTTAAACATGTGGGCTGTGTCAACATGTGCAACTTGGTCACTGCAAACTTTTCATCCTCTGCCAGTATGAACACGGGGACACATAATTAAATACGGATCTTGTGTTTAAGCGGTGAAAATATAACACAATGTTATTAGTACAGTGTCCATTCATTGTTAGTGTACGTGAAACAACACAGGCTGCACGTAGATCTATCTATCTGTAACATGCGTGTTATTTGCTGTGTAGAAGAGTAGCCCGTCTTTGAGGTCAGTACACAATAAAGACCACCAGAGGGCAGCACTACCCCTGCGTAAGAGTCTTATCTAAGGCTTTACATGCATGCAGTGGTTGAAAGAGAACCAGCAGCAGGAGGAGCAAAGTTTGAAGAAATTGTGAAGTGAAAAAGTTTACACATATAGGGTATAAACGTTTTTTACTCAAGTGCAAAATATATATACTTCTACCTCTATAGATGAATCTGTTATAGACTCCAGTGCAAGAATATTGAAGTCATTAGGTCTCTTTTTATAGTACTGTAATTATACAACTCTACATGTTTGCAGCATGAGGGTGCGGGGTCCCATAATCACGCCACAAAACCGACAATGGGACAGTGTCTGAATAGCAATGAAAAGACTACAGCTGAATTATAACAGTATAATAATATAATAATAATTCTCTTGTAAAAGTGACTCCATGTGCAGCTCCACTGACAATCTGTGATTTTAGTTTTTTAAATTTGTATGTCTAAGTCTTACCTGCTGTGGAACCTGACCCATATTTTTTTACTATAGACCCCAGTTATATCTGTATTACTGCTAAATTATCCAAAAAAACTGACCGCATTTGTTCTGACCACATTGTTACTATATATCTACGTCTTTAACCATGGGACAGGTGCAATCGCCTTGTCTTCATTTCCGACAGTACAGAGATTTATGCTGGATTAAAGAGGACAGTTTTAAGCCTGGCCTTCAATGTACAGACTGTTTATTTTTAAATGTCAGATGGAAAGTAAAAGTCAACACTGCTTTGAAAAGTCTTTAGCCTGGATTGGACTAATACGGTTCATTATAGTCTGTCACTAATGAAGCAGATTTCAGCCTCTTTGACCCAGAACTGAAGCTGCAGACGAAGACCACGGAACCTGAGCCTAAACCAGGATTAAACAAACACAGGGAAATGTTCTTGTGTTTTCTGGATTTGTTCTCTGTGCGACCGGTAAGAGAGGGCTGCATTACATCATCCTCCTCCAGTTCCACCAGACGAACTCAACTATACTCTATCACTCTGGTCTCGCTCTCTGGTGTTTCTGTCACTCTCTCTGGTCTCTCTGTGGTCTCTCTCTGGTCTCTCTCTGGTCTCTCTCTGGTCTCCCTCTGGTCTCTCTCTTCTCTCTCTCTGGTCTCTCTGTGGTCTCTCTCTGGTCTCCCTCTGGTCTCCCTCTGGTCTCTCTCTGGTCTCTCTCTGGTCTCCCTCTGGTCTCCCTC